TTTTGAGAGAGAGAGAGAGAAAGACAGTGCAAGTGGGGAAAGGGCAGAGAGAGAGGGAGACACAAAATCTGAAGCAGGCTCCAGGCTCTGAGCTGTTAGCACAAAGCCCGATGCGGGGTTCAAAGTCACAAACCATGAGATCACTGACCTGAGCTGAAGTCAGACACTTAGCCGACTAAACCACCCAGGCACTCCACCATGTATTCTCTTTTTTTTTTTTTTTTAATTTTTTTTTTTTCAACGTTTATTTATTTTTGGGACAGAGAGAGACAGAGCATGAACAGGGGAGGGGCAGAGAGAGAGAGGGAGACACAGAATCGGAAACAGGCTCCAGGCTCTGAGCCATCAGCCCAGAGCCCGACGCGGGGCTCAAACTCACGGACCGCGAGATCGTGACCTGGCTGAAGTCGGACGCTTAACCGACTGCGCCACCCAGGCGCCCCCCATGTATTCTCTTAAAAGCCACCCCTAACTCCTCAGACACAGCTCCACCAATACACAGTACTAGCTCATGATACATAAAGCACAACAGGTCTGTATCTCCCACTAGACTATGAATTATCAGAGGGCATGGTACACATATTCACGGTATTCTCAACGCAAGCATATTGTCAGTAGCTGGTTTTCAATACATGTTTTCTGAACCAAATCAACAACTGTCAAGTATTATGTATGGAAATATATTTTTAAATGATAAAGTGACTATCAATCAGGTAAGGTACATCCACATCATCTTGAGAGTGTTTAAAAAATACACATTCCTGGGGCTGTCTAGATTTAGTGAGAGTCACCACCTTCATGACCTCCTCCACGGTGTGAGAATAACATCCAGGGGGAAGTGGTTGTAGATAATTAGAAGAAGATTTTGACTGTTCTGGGTCAGAAAGAGGAGGATGTTCCAAAAAAATAATGATACCAGAAACTGGTCACACTGGGGGATGCCTGGCTGGTTCAGTTGGTGGAGAATGTGATGCCTGATCTTGGGGTTGTGAGTTCAAGCTCCACAATGGGTACAGAGATTACTTAAAAATCTAAAAACAAAACAAAACAAAACAAAACCCCACACATTATGAAAATGGAATTATAATTACTTAGTTATCAAGTAGATATGCGACCTGAATGGGAAAGGAGTCTGAGTTTCTAGCTGCAGTAAATGTGCCAACAGTGGCACCATTTATGGATGGGGAAAAAAGCAGGTCTCAGGGCTGGGACCAATGGACTGTGTGGGAGGAATGCTAGCTCAGTATCTAGACATATTGAGTCTGAGGCAGCTACAGGACATCCACACAGAGATGAGTGCCTTGCATAAATGGGTTTATGGCTGAGAAGAGAGACCTAGGCTGAAGATGAGATTTAGGGTGATAAGCAGAAAGATGGTAACAAACCCACAGAATGAGACCACTCATACATACAATTGTTAAGAGTGAGAAGGAGGAGAGACAGAGACAGAACCCTGAAGAAGACAAAGTCAACTGAGGAAGGTAAGCTCTGAAATGGGTGACTAGCCAGAGAAGTAACAGCAAAATTAGAAAAAATATGGTTTTAGGGAAGGAAGGCAGAGTCAACATTATCAAAAGTCACAGAGGGATAAGAAAAGAAACCAATGGAAAGTCCCTTACTATATTTCAAAACTAGAAAGCTTGAAAATGGTACTTTAGAATAAAGGTTTCAGTGGGGAGGTTGGGGCAGAACCATGGGCTGAAGAATGCATAGGTGATGAGGATGGAGAGGCAAATAGTATGATGTCTTCTTTTGAGACTCTGTGCATACAGGTGTGCACGTGCTTATGTCCACACAGGTAATAGGACAAGTGGGGCCGAGATGAGAGAAGAGGGTTGAGATGACAAGAGGCTGAAGCACATTTATAGAATAAGGAAGAGGAGATGTGAGAAAAAGGTTGAAGACACGATTAAGAGTGGTAATGACAGAGAATGAGGTCCCTGAGGAGGAATGAGGCATTGGGATACAAACCTAGGATCAGAGCAGGGAGGTTCTTCTCCTGGGACTTAAGATGAGTGCAGAGAGATATTAACTTTCCAGGTGGTGGAAGCTGAAGAGTTATTTCCTGATTTTTAAAATGTTTCTCTGCAGGACTGAAGGCAGATCACATTGAGAGTAGTGGGCATGAAGGTGGGTTGAGAGCTGGCTTCCTCTGGGACAAGCCAGAGCGGAGGAGCAGTGGGAATGACAACGGTGTGTAGGAGGACAGACAGTGAGGCACCCCAGGTCCAATCAGTGCCCAAGCTTACCCAAGTGCACACATGAACCCAACGACAGCTTACAGAAGCTGAACAACAAACTACTTGAGGCAAAGTTTCATGGGGTTAGGGAGAATTACAGACCCACAGGGATTATTTTTCCAATATATTAGAACAATAAGAAAGTCATTAAGTAATAAGTAAGGTGGGGAAGGAAGTAATGTACTACAATAGGTGAAAAAATCAAGGAACTAAAGATCCTGGTGAAGTCAAGGGCTAAGAAGACAGAAAGTAGCCGTCAAGATAGTGGCGTTTAAGATTTCAGGTTGTGAACTGAGAGGTCCAGAACTGTAAGTCTACGGCATTACATGGTTCCTTCCCAGGGACACGACGCCATCCAGGCACAAAGAAAGAGGTACTGAGAGGAGAGGGCAAAGAGGAAGACAGTGAACGGCGTCCTCAGCATTCAAGCCTTTAGCAAATATGTGAGAGGAGGCTGCGACATGGGGACTGTGAAGTCGGGACAGATCCAAGGGCAGCAGTGTGATGTGTCTGGATGGCATGAGTCTCAGAGGAGATCATTTTAATATGCAAGTTGGAGAGTAATGGCTTGGACTAGGAAGTTCTGTGGTTACAGGGGAAGCAAGAACAAGTAGCCCCTACCTGAGAAAGACAGAAAGGTAGTTTACTCAGGGGAGAGCCAGGCTTCTACAAGGAGAAGATGCAGGGACAGGGTTCACTGAGTGGCATGCCCATAGCAGAGTGCAGCTTTGGAGACCACCATATATAGAGAGTGGCCAGAAAGACAGCAGGGGGCATGGGGCCACACCTCCTCTGAGGAAGAAATGCCTGTCCCTAATACTAGGTACCCATACAAGGCGAATGGCTCTCTTCCTGAGAAGACTTACAGAAAAAAGAGCCCAAGCCAGTGAGGATGGAGGCAGGGTTACTAAGTACACTTGGTAACAACCAAGCTCTCCTTGCAGCCTTCAACTTAGCCTGTCCAACAGGTAGTTGGGTAAATAAGTCTAACATTTAAGGGACAAATCACAACCATTTCATTGACTTGTATAGTTGAGAGGAATTTAAGTTACAAATGTCTTACTTTTAAGCATCTCCGTTCCAATTTTTACCAATTCCTCGATTTAGATCAATTTGATCAAACTAATCAGGGAATTCAAACATCAATTATCATATCCAGTGATTGCAATTACAACAGATTTATGTAAAAAAACAAGGGCAACTAGGGACTTGGAATAGGAGGAAGGGAGCAAGGTGGCTGGGGCCACAAAAGGGAGGGATCTTGTGGTGGGGCTGGTCCACTGGTCTGTGCCCAGACTGTGATCCCACACTCTACCGTGTAACAGAGCCACAAAGAACTGAACACAGCCACAAATAAGTGCAGGTAAAACTGGGGAGATCTGAATGGGTTGCATCCACGTGGATTTCCTGGTTGTAGTTATGTAAGAGGTTACCACTGGGGAAAACCAGGCCAAGATACCCTTGTGCTATTTCTCACAACTGCATGCAAATCTACAATTATCAAAACAAGAAGTTTGGTTTTTTGTTTTTTTCTTTTTTTAAATTAAAGGCAACAAAGCAAAATGTACACCTGGAACATAGGGTCTTCAAAGTCATGGTAAACACTGGAGATTAGTGTCTCTAGCTCAAGGATATTCAACCAGAAATTTGAAGAGGGTGAAGGAGCACCTAAATGTTACAACCACTGCCCACAACCCCATTCCCTGCACACACACCCACACCATATGGAAAGAGAAACCTAGTATTTAATAAGTAATCGATAACAGACATGAAATATTTTAACAGATTAGTCCATCTGATTTATCCAAAATTAGCCAACATACTTTTCATGGAAATGTACTTGGTTGACAGAAGGAAAAACATTGTTCATGGAAGAAATAAAGTATGGACTTTCCCCCCAGTAATTAGATTTTCAATGGAATGTCCATACCCTTCTAACAAGGAATACAACATACATAAGGGTATATAATCTGCGACCTTGAATAGAGTGAGATTATTCAGTCTATACAGGAGGACTCAGCACACTAACACCGAACCATCATTGCATGTACATGAGTGGATACATCAGAATCCAAATGGTCAACCACAAGGGAACCGTTACACAAAAGAATGGCACATCCAAAGCCACTATTAAAGCCACTAAAAGACTTAATATAGGAAAATGTTTATAATGTATTGCTATGTGGGAAAAGAACTATAATCAATATGTGAAGGATTCTAATTTTAAATTTAAAAGAATGTGTATATATGTTTGTTCAGAAAAAATACAAAAAGAATATAAACCCAAAAGTTTTTATTTGTTTTTAAAGTATAGGTTTTTTTCCTTTACATATTTCTGTTTTAAAAGTTTTCTGCAGTGAGTACATACAACTTTTATAATTTGGGGAAAAAAGCAAACTATACTGATAAATATTTTAAGTAAAACTTACAAAGCCTATGGAATAATAGGAAAAGGAAGTATGTTTATGAATACACATACACACATATATGACTACAATTATTTTAAAGAAAGGAAATTATGCATAAGAAAAACAGATTAGTAGAAAGTACACCAAAGTAACGGTGGCTGTGTTTGAAGGATGAATTATGAGCAGTTTTCCTTCCTTCTATTCTAGACCTTGAAATTTTTCCTTAAAGAACGTTTATTATGTTAATATGCAAAAAAACCACTGTATTTATCAACCCTATCCCAAACTTTTTCACCGTAACCTGCCTAAAACAAACCAACATACACATGCACACAAAACCACAAATACTTACATGGGCTTACATCTCTGTATCTGTTTCGATTTCTGTTTTCTGGAAACTTGGCCACTCTATGAGGATAGTCATGGGACTCATTGCGAATTTCCTTAAAATAACAAAAATATATTTTAATATTCCTCTTAAATTGTATATAGCAAAACAGATACCTTCCCAGCCAGTATAAAGTAACATTTATTGAACATTTATGATATGCCAAGTACAACACAAAGCACGTTGCCTACGTTATCTATTTCAATTCTGACAACACTGGTAGGAACAGTTATCCCTGTGAGGGATGACAGACTCTGAGAAATAAAACAATCTGTCAAAGGTCACAAAACCAGTAAGTGGCAGGACAACAAAGGTCGTTCAGGCACCAAAGTCTCTGCTCTTGATGAATTTATATATTGCCATGCAATATTCAACCCCTACAAGTAACCTTAAACACGTTATGTAATACAGAACTAATGCAATGGAGGTTATCTAGGCTAAACACATCACACTCAGATTTCTGACTAAACTCTCAATAATACCCATCTCTATTTTGGAGTTTCTACCTTAAAACTTTAATCTGTTTCTTCATCTTGGGCACCTGGGTGGCTCAGTTAAGCAGCTGACTTTGGCTCAGGTCATGATCTTATGGTTTGTGGGTTTGAGCCCCGTGTCAGGCTCTGCTGACAGTTCAGAGGCTGGACCCTGCTTCAGATTTTGTGTCTCCCTCTGTCTTGCCCCTCCCCTGCTCACACTCTCTCTCTCAAAAATAAATAAACATTAAAATTAAAAAAAAAAAAAAAAACCTTTAATCTATTTCTTCATCTTTACTGTTACTTTGAGTCCAGAAATATCCTCAAATTTTATTTCTAGAGCCATAAGTGCTTAGCAACCACCACTAGGCCAGAAGCTCATTTTAGGACCCTTACAGTTTTCTGTGTTCTACAATGGAAGAAATTCTGTGAGGATACAGCTGCACTAGGCACTCAGCTATTTGTTATCACCCAATGACACATTCTAGAATTCTGGTAAAAAGTGAGGGGCAGCTGGGTGGTTCAGTCGGTTAAGTATGCTGACAGCTCAGAGCCTGGATTCTGCCTCAGATTCTGTGCCTCCCTCCCTGTCCCTCTCCCACTCACACTCTCTCTCTCTCTCTCTCTCTCTCTCTCAAAAATAAACATTAAAAAATTGTTTTAAATTAGTGCATGCTGTAAATTAACTGGGTCTTTGTCTATATCACACATGTGAGAAAAGCATTTTAAGTTAGGCACCAGATAATTTTATAAATTAAGCATAAATAAATTATTGAAGATGCACATATGAGCCTACTTACTGTGGGTTCCACACCCTCTCTTATGCCACCAATCAGGTAACTTTATATTCCATTATTTTCACCCATAAGATACAAGATGCAAAGTAGTGAAACACAGGACCACCTTCCTCGAGCAGAATCTCAGTCACACTGTGTATGCAGAAGAATGTATATTGGTTTGGCTACTTTGGAAAATGCAATCTACAACACACACACACACACACACACACACACACACACACAATTGTTTCTCGAGTTTAATGCTTTCTCTCTCATCAGCAGATCAAGCTGAGCTCTCTATTATTTTGAGTGACTCTGAATTTCTCAATATAACCAAATAGTGATCATTCTGTCTCTTCCCTATATTTCATATTTCTTATTTATTCACACCTCTTATTTCCCTTACTATCTAATTTCATTGGCTGGGACTCTAATCAATATCAAATAGACATACTTTTCCCCTGATTTGTAAACAACGCTCTTGTAAGATAGCCTACTAAACATAAACATTTTTCTCCCCCTTTGATTGATTTCGATCGATATACCCTTTTCAAATTAGATAGGTTTCTCTTCCAACTTCAGTGACTAAGCAAGCTGTTTTTATCAGTGAATGGGCTTGATTATTCAATGTGTTCCCTCATTATGCGAAGTGATCATATGCTTTTCTCCCTTTAACTTGAATGTCAAATTACAATTAACAGATTTTCATTGTAATATGACCTCAGTTTTCCTATGTCTTTTCATGGCTTGATGCTCACTACTCTTTAGTGGAAATAATATTCACTGTTCATCATCTATTTAATTTAAAATGTAGCACCTATGTTTTTTTAAGTTAACTGACTATTCTAATTTTCTACTTGATGCTTATTCAGAGTACCAAAGTTACACAATCTCATATAAGGAAGTTGGATAGAGGTACTGTGGCTCCAGTGTTGAGATCGTTCAGCTCAGTCATGATCTTGCAGTCTGTGGGTCCAGGTCCCATCAGGCTCTGGCTGCAGCTTGAGACCTGGGCAGACGCTTCCACTTATCATCCGTGCCCACTGACCCCTGCTCACTCTGCATAAAAATAAACATTAAAAAAAAAAAGAGTTAGAATACTACCTTTCAAAAAAAAAAAAGAAATACTACCTTCAGTTTCAAATACTTTCTCATGAAGCATTAACAAATACATTGTAATTAGCTGAAAAGATGAAAAAGTGTCAACCTATTTCCTACACACTTAATTATAAACATATGTATTAAGTAAGTCAAATTTTATATGAAAAGTCTCTAAAACAGGTCTCAGCTATATTTATTTTGAAAGCACTTTATAGAGGCTGAAACACTACACATAAAAGTCAAGTATTTGCAAGTTAGTAATGACATATAAAAAAATATTAATTATGAAATATACAAAAACAGGTTTTCTGTTATACAGCCTTCTGTATCACAAAGAGACACAAATTGGTGAGAATGTTACCCAAAATACTGAAACACTAGTCACGGGTAGAGTAAGAAGCATTCATACATGACTACATGAACTGCATTACACGACAATGTTTGAGAAGTTAATAGATTATAAGATATTGATCTCAACTGGCTCAGGGGGTTTTATCAATCAAGACACAGTATGTGAAGATGTACACCATGGTCACTTAACATCCAACTTAGAAAAATTGAACAAGGAATGTTAAGTGTCCTTCAGGATGAACTGGGGAGATAAATCCTGAACCAAGCACCAGATACTATGAATCAAGGGAAAGAAGGACACTAAGTGCTACAGTGATATGACAGATTCAATATGGTAATTTGTGTAGGAAAAAAGAGTTACAAAAGAATAGTCTCTATGGGGGGAGGCAACTCCACTCAAACATAGATATGTCCTGAGAACCAGGTGAATCAGAAAGATGATGAGAGACAGATAACTCCAGGGAAGAAGTGAACATCTAGGTGGGTAAATTTATGTAACTAAAGAGTTGTTAATAATGAAACATGAAACTATCAAATAAAAATATATATCACATTCATGTACCATCAGGAAATTAACAAATAGTACAATTCATGTTATCCACTTTATCTCATTCAAATCTTTTAAAATTTTTTTTTTAACATTTAGTTGGGACAGAGAAGACCAGAGCAATGAACAGGAGGCAGAGGGAGACACAAGAATCGGAAATGCTCAGGCTCCATGAGCCATCAGCCCAGCACTGACCTGGGCTCAAACTCATACGGACTCACAGATCGTGATCTGGCTGCAAGTTGACGCCAACCTCTGATCATAGCACCAAGAGCTGCCTCAAATCTTTAGAAAGTGAGATAAAAACAGCATCAATTGTCAGCATTATTTTACACAGCCAAGATGGTGAAAGAACTAAAGCGTCATTGTGATGAAAGGATAAAAGATGTGAAATATATGTAAATAAAACAAATACTACTAGCCATAAACAAGAATGAAACCTTCATTTGTTAACATAGAGTATAGAAGGCTGAGGTGTTGCAATGAAATAGTCAGGAGAAAATACACAGTGATGTCACTCACTGTAAAATCTAAAAACAAAAACAAAACAAAATAGGCCGGGGGCTTTAATGGCTTAGGCATAGCGTCCGACTTCAGCTAAGGTCACCATCTCATGGGTCTGTGGAGTTCCAAGCTCCCTGGCTCAGGCTCTGGAGGGCTGCGTAGAGCCTGGATTCCCTCCTGATGCTCCTTCTCTCTCGCCCCTCCCCCTCTCATGGCTCTGTCTCTCTCTGTCCTCAAAATAAATAATCGCTAAAAAATTTTTTTAAAAAAAATAAAAAAACAAAAACAAAATAAAACCTCACAGATATCAGAGCAAACTAGAGGTTACCTATGGAAGGGGGCTTTAGGGTGAGTGAAGGATGAGATACCCCCACGCACCGCCACACCACTTGCCCCACCAAACACCACTAGACACGATGGATGGTGGGATGGTGAAATCTGGTCGTGTGGTAGAATCAGCGCTGTATGTACAGTATGTCACAGTGGTAATCACTGTGAAAGGCTTAAATAGATGTAAGAAACCCATAACCAACTAAGTCTACCCTGCCCTCTTTCAAAGTAGACCGTTCCTTGAACCCTTTTATTGGGCACTTTTATGTGACCAGCTTTGTAATTATTTTGATTCTTGTTCATATTGCTTTTCGAAATAAACTAAAGATTCTAAATAATAGCAAGTATTAATACTCGTTACTGCTTAAATGTGTTTAAAGACTGATTGGATAAGTTGCTGAATCACGGGAGGGAAGATCATTGCTAATCTGTATCTGGTAAGGGATGCTATCCGAGTTATAGTCACAAGAACTAATTAAGAAAAAAAATTTTTATTAGGCTGGCTCCTATTATATGAGCCCTTCTTTTCAATGCTTGTAGTTTATGCATATGAAAGCTATTTTCCGGGGGGCACCTGGTGGCTCAGTAGTTAGCTAGATCTCTGCTCAGGTCTGTCTTGGTTCAGGCGGCTCAGTCCGCTCTGTGATGACAGTCAGAGCTGGAGCCTACTTCAGATCTGCACTTGCTCTCTCTGCCTCCCATCTTGCTCCCACTTAGGCTTTCAAAATAAACTTAAAAAAATTTAAACCTATTTGCCACAGTTATTTTATCTGTCAGTTTGATTCCAATTTTTAGATAGGCTCAAAAGAAACACTTATTTGTAATTCATGTGACAAATCATTACATTTGATGTTACCAAAAAAAAAAAAAAAAAAAAAAAAAAAAATTAAATAGATGACAAGTCCAAGTAGGGGAAATTTTAATTTACAAAACACAAACAACCAAGTTCTTGGGTAAGAAATATATGTCA